AGGAAGGAGGATGTAAAACTATCCCTTTTCACGGATAACGCGATCATATACATACCCAAAACAAAACAAAACTCATTGCCAACCACTTGATTCCAACTCACAGCAACCCTACGGGACAGAGAACTGTCCCATAGGGTTTCCAAGGAGCAGCTGGTGGATTCGAACTGCCAACCTTTTGGTTTGCAGCCAAACAATCACTGCACCACCAGGGCCAACCCCAAAGAATTCACACACAAAAAAGATATTAGAATCAATAAATGAATTCAGCAAGGTGACAAGGTACAAGGTCAATACACAAAAATCAGTTGGATTTCTATACATCAGCAATGAGCAAGCAGAAAAGCAAATTAAGGAAACAATTCCATTTACAATGGCATGTAAAAGAATAAAAGATCTACAAATAAATTTAACCAGGAAAATGAAAGACTTGCACACAGAAAACAATAAAACACTGCCAAAGAAATTTGTTGTTGTGTGCTGTCGAGTTGATTCCAACTGATAGCAACCCTACAGGGCAGAGCAGAACTGCCTCCATACGGTTTCCTAGGCTGTAAATCTTTACGGGAGCAGATTACCAGGTCTTTTCTCCTGTGGAGCTGCTGGGTGGGTTCGAACCACTGACCTTTTGGTTAGCAGCTGAGCACTTAACCGTTGCACCAACAGAACTCCTCCAAAAGAAATTTTAAAAGACCTAAATAAATGTAAGGACATGGGTGTTCATGGAATGGAAGATACTACCCAAAGCAATCTATAAATTCAATGCAATCCTCATCAAAATTCCAACAGCTTTCTTCACAGAAATAGAACAGCCAATCTTCAAACATATATGGAAGGGCGAGGGAACTTTGAATAGCTAAAGCTATTTTGGAGAAGAAAAACAAAGTAGGAGGACTCACATTTCCTGATTTCAAAACATAAAGCCACAGTAAATAAAACAGCTTGGTACTGGTATAATAACAGACATATAGACCAACAGAACACAGAATTGAGAGTCCAGAAATAAAATCATACATGGTCAACTAAGTCCATTCAAACGGGGAGGAAGAGTCTCTTCAATAAATGATGCTGGGA